TATCCATATATTACATTACGTAAATTAAAAATAAGTTTTCTTTCTATTTGTTGCTATTATTAATTAAGAGAAAGACTTTTAAGCTTAAACGACATTTTCGATTTAGTAAATTAATTGTATAATAACACAATTTTCTTTATTTTTCTTAACACTTTATCAAAAGAAAATATATATTAAATTTGAGTTATATATATATTAAAAGTATTTTAAATAAAATTTTTAAGTTAACAAATATTATATTAAATTTTCCCAGAAATTGAAAATATATTACTGCTTTGTTCCTAGCGGTACTACATTGCGTATACGTTACAATTGGGATTACTACTTATATGAAACATATACTCAGCATTGCAAAAATTCAATTTGTGGTATTAATTATTTGTGTAAAAAGATTTCAGAGGAAACAAGTAAAAATAGTAAACAAATAAAGTGCAAAATAATTACCTGAGGTTGAGCTCTTTATTTTGAAAGTAGGTTGTATGAAAAGAAACTAGTGTTAAGTTTTGTATAGTATTTATTTTACAATGAAATAGTTTTTTTTTTGTTGTTTCGATTTAAATCAAATATTTTGTAGCATATTATGTCTTTTCAATCAAACCACACTTTTGATCTGTATTATATGTCAAACTTTTACTAATAACTGCTACATTTCACTGCAATACATACCATTCATTTATAAAAAATCGCCTTAGAGGTTATTTGATATAATCATAAGAAATATCAATATTTTGACATCACCTATTATATCAATATCAACACAAATTAATTTTCCTTTTCGGAAAAATTTCACTATAAACTACACTCCCACACATATCATATATACGTATTTGTTTAACATTTAATTAAAACAATTAATTGTAAGGGTTTTTTGAAATTGCCGCAAACCAAAAAAAGGATTGAAGGCAAAATGCGTATGATGTGTTCCCCCACTTAATTTCATTTACTTCTGCGGTCATATAAATATTACATAGTAATGTGCAGTATCACACTACAAACATATCAAGGGGTATTTGTAGTTATTTCAAGAATTTTTGAATGGCAACATCAAAATAACGCAATGTTAGTTATGGTGGCATATGGGTTTTGGAATTTTTTTTATAAATAATAAGTTTATTGTAAAAAGGGACTTTTAATGTCTGCTTATTAACTCGTGTATATCTTTAAGCTGAAGGTCAAGTTGTTTTCTTTTAGTAATGATATGTTTTCTCCATACTGGTTGCCTATCCAACAGTATGCGAAGGCACTTACCGCTGTTGTCTGCAGGTAGCTGTTTTTTCGTTTTGCAGAACAGGTGGAGATGTACCGATATTGTTATAATATTAGCTTTCATTTTCCAAGTTTTAATCCAGTTTTCCATCATATGATAATGCATTTGGAGATACTACTGGATTTGTATGAGTTACAGGCAAAACTGTATTATCAGCAAAAGTGCCAACATTTCCTGCTTTCGGAAGATCGTTAGAGAAGAATGGGTACAATACGGAACCCAAAATGCTGTCTTAAGATACGTCGGTATTTTGACATATTTCAAGTATTTTTGTAGTATCTTTAATGAATTTCAGTAAGAAGTATTTATCTAAGAGGTGAGAATGTGAAGTTAGAATAGGAAATCAGTTAGACACACTTTATTACATCATTAGGTAAAATTCAATAAAACGTGCATTCTTTTAAATTACAGTTTTTATTGTTCTATCAATTCGGTGCACTTGTTTCTTTATGTCAGCACTTTCTCTGAAGCTAAATTTATAGATTGTCATATATTTTTAAAATTATTAATAGGTATGAAATTGAAAAGAAATAGTTCTTTTAAACTGTCCTGACTATCGACAAATGATATATATTATTTTACTTATACGTGTAGTTTTCATACACTTTTCTGATAATAGCGTGAAACATATCGACGAGCAACAACTTAGTATTTAGTTGTATTTTAAGTTGCTTTTCATTTAAACACAAAAATATTTAAAATTGGGGCAATTTTTACTTAAAATGAGAGTGTTTTCAATACCTATATTAATTATTTTAATAAAGAATGTGGATAACACGTCCATTTGTTCATTTAGTGCATATATAACCATTAAAATCAGTATAATTTAGATTCGTACTTTACCGATTGTTTTTTCATATTGTTCATTTTCATTACGATATGAATGTACATTAAATATTTTTTTTTTTTCATAATTAAAAGCTATCTGAAATATCAAAATATTTTGTGCTGCAATACATCAAAATAAAGTATTTACCAAAAAGAGAAGTAAGAATATATATAAAAGATTAATTTTGTAGATAAATAATGAACTGTTCGATATAAATTTTCTTTGACTACATAAGAAAAGTCAAAATACAATTAAAATATTGTTAAAACAAGATATTAAACTGTTCAAATATGATATATACTTTCATAACAAATAAAAATTTTTTGCTTCATATTCAAAATAATTTACATATATTAAGTTAAGAAAATTATAAAACCAGTTTTTGAGGAAATATTCAAAATTTAATAATTAAAATTAGTATAAGCACGTTTGATTAAATTTTACAATTTAAGATTATATATAACTTTAAAAATTAATTTAAATTAAGATATTTAAAAGACTTTGGTATGCTTAAGTTCCCCACTTACGTTAATATAAATAATTCATTAAATATATAAGGTGACGCATAACCAGTTCGTATAACAACATTTTAGGCAAACAAATTTTCAAATTGTTTAAAAATTTTGATGAAAGAATTATGTATAGTATTTTGGAAAATTTTGAATACAAAAAGTTTGTACTTTCTCCTAATAGAAATCGAGTATAAAATTTTATAATTCCTAAACAATTAGATTGAATAAAATATTATACAAAAATAATGTATTACATATACAATACATGTCAATTTGTGTCAGTATTTGTTACTCATACGCAACGTGTAACCTTTTCATTATAAGTAGCTCATAAAATAATCAAAATATTTTTTTTTTTTTCAATTTTTAAAACAGTTTTTACTTTTATTAAACAATGTGTAATCCAATAATCCGCTTACTAACTTTATGCTATTTGCATTTTATGATATTTTAGCAAAATTGAGTTTTAGTAAAACCTGGACTAAATTTATACCCATTATAACTTTTTTACTATTGATTGAATAATGATAGTTTTTTTTTGTTGTTTTAAATCTAAAGTTATGGTTATTAACTATATGTAAAACAATTTTCAATTTTAATAGTAAAATTCAATAAATAAAAATGTTTAAAGAATTTAACGTTTTTAATGGAATTTTTAATTTCTTTCTTTTAAAATTATATCACTGTTAGGTAATTGTCAATTATAGAGAATTTAACCTTTAATAAACCTCATAGATGTTGACGAAGATACGAATAAATAATTAAATAATAAATATATATATATATATATATATATAAATCTTATAATTTAAGATTATTAATGACTTTAAAAATTAATTTAATAAACTAAACTAATTTATTAAAGACATATATGTATATAAAATTATACATGGAAAAAGATATATAAAATTAAATCAAATTCTTTCATAAATATATGAAATTAATTTTGTCCTTTATTAGATTTTAAATTTTGCAACTTTTTTTTAATCTTTAGATTTTCTCTTACTTCACTTTCGATCTCGAACGATTTTCCGCTTAACTTATTTGAATTACCATCGATTAATTATATTAGTCAAGTAATATAAAATAATTAATATTCGATAAAATGATTACTATTATACGAATCATGCTTGATTACTTGTACACAACAGACAATGTAGCAATGTATAACACGCAACATGTATGAAAGCGCTTCATACGTTAAACTTGTTCCAATCAAAATGTTAACTTTCATTCAAAAGTGTTGGCGCAAATTGCGCGCCAAAATTGCTTTACGTATGATAATGTTGATTGTCTGTACTGTGCGTTGCCGCCTACAGACCGTTACACTTGTGTGCTCGCATGCTTTAGTGAACTTAGCATTAACAAAACTTGTCTTGTTGTTCCAGTTGCAAGCATTCAACCTTAAATTTATAGGAAAATTGTACGGTTGTATTAAAGCGCCAAGCCATGCAAGAAAGGAAAGTAGATTTGATAAGAAAGAAAATTTAATTTTTAGTTGATAGCGGAAACTCGGTCTGCGCGGATGTTCGAAAGCGGTTCAGAATAAAATAAAAAAGGTGTTGATTTGAATTCTTATATTGTGTACATGAAATATTTAATTAATAATATTAAAAAAATTATATTCATATAAATAAAATACAACAAAAAATAATAAAAAAAGAGAAATTATAATAATTTTATTAGCGCATATGAAAATAAATATATCAAACATATAATTAATTTAAGATTTAAAGCAAGCTTTTGAATTTAAAGTGAATTACTTATTTGAAATAAGCTACTAAATTAACTACATTATAAATATTTGAAAGTTTTAGATGAACAATACATATAATTTAAATTAATAATATTAATGTTATTAAATCAAGTTTTTATTAAAAAATATATATATAATTAGAAGTGACATAGAAAGTTAATAAAAATTACGATAATTAAAAATATATAAATTAAAAAGTAATCCACTTAAGTATGTAATAAATAGTTTATATTAAAATAATCAATTTCAATAAAAAAAAGAAAGTTTAAGCAGTTTAATAAAAATAAATCATAAAATAAAAGTTTAAATATTTTAAATTTTAAAATCAGTTATAAAATTACATAATAATTAAATGTGTAAATTTAAATGTTAGAAAATTAAGCAACAAATTTAAAAAATTAATAACGAAATTTATATAATAATATAATAATAATTTAATAATTAAATTGCTAATTAAAAATTTTTGTATTTAGTGGTAGAATTTAAAAATAATAAAATTGCTAACAAAATTAATTAAAAAATAATGTAAAATATTAGAAATCAATCAGAAGAAAAAAACAAAAAGCAAACAAAATTAGCATTACAACGAAATATAAAAAATTTTGTGAAATAATTGAAGCGTTAATAAAATAATAATATTATTTATGTGAATAGGAATAGGATAAAGGACATTACCACATATCAAGTAGGTAACAACTATTTGGTGAAAACACGCACTTCTTGATTTATCTAATAACCTTGAGATAAAAAGTTACAAAAGAAAAAATGGAACAGGCCACATGCTTGGAAATTTTTTTCGGATTTTACTTAATTGAATTTCCGGTTGTGAGTATAGTTCAACGAAAATAAAGTTCATAAATTTGACTATTAGCCACTAACCACAACATCGAATGAACATTATATAAAATTATTATAACACAATAAACGCGTGTCCTTTGCGTGAGGAAATCCCATTGGCATAACCTTTTAAAGCAGAGTATAAATATTCCTTTCAAAGAAACAATATCAACAAATTAAAAATCTTCTGAAAATTATCCCACTGAGTAAATTCGAAAAGAGAAGGTCACATTTGCATACTGGTTTAGGCTATCCTGGTAAGTAAGTGGGGTGATGTATAAATTTCTAATAAAAACCGAGAATTCCTATAAATTCATTTGATATGCATTATGGTTGTTGGCTTATTAGAAATTATTAGACGCATGACTTTAACAACGTTTGTATTGTCAGTCGGTTATTCTGTTTAGGCATTTGAATAATCAAAATAAATTCCATTAAGTGAAAATGTGAAGCTTATTTTTCTGATAGACTCTAAAGCAAAATTAAATATATATAAAAATAAGAAAATACATTTAATAATGACATTTAATAATGTCAATATCACGTCAATAATTTAGCATATGTTATATACGATACTAATATACTATATATATAATATTTGATTAAATTGGTTATAGCAAAAATAATGAAGTCTTTTACAATAGAAATGAAAACTTTGCTTTACTGTGTTGTATACCATTTAAATCGATTAATGGTTGATGTAACAAGTCTTATATATAGAAAAATAGTGTTTGTTTTTTAATGTGAACATCCACTGCAAAAATCGTTTGTTTTTTGTTGTCCTTCATGTGTAGTTATTTCAATATTTCATAATTTTAAACGAATTTAGAATAAAAAGCAGATAATTCAATTTAATTTTACAATTTAGGAAAAGATTTTTAATTGCTTTCATTGTTACTATTACATGAAGTTCGCTGACTGATTTCTATTTCAGAACCCAACATCTTATACCCTGCTATAAAACTACCTCTAGATATTTTACCTTGTGTGGCACCTGAAGGATATTATTGGCTTTAACTGAAGGAAGTGTTCTTCAGCAAAATTTTTGTTAAACTATTATTATGTTCATGTGCTAATCTTTTATTTAATGAACTCTTACTCGTAAATCTGCCGAAGACATGAGTTACATATTGTTCTGGGCAACAAGATGAGTGAATTTGATTTAATTCAATTATTCAATTTTGAATTTGTTCCTCGAACTGGTGATGATAATAATGTTGTTTTTATATATTTTATTTTTGGCTACAGGTCAATATTTTTTAATTAAATATTTTTTTTTGATTTAATTCAACTGTATTCAGACTACAATAAATGTTCAAGAATATATTATGAGCTCAATTTACATTCACAACGAATCCATATAATTGGATCGGCAGTTTTTTAGGCCCGATGTGTTCTGATATAATTATGCGAAAAGTTGTTATTAAAACAAAAAAAGGTTATGCTCTCTATGTGTTATAAATAAAGATAAAACTTTGTAACATTTTCTGAACCTCTAACCAACTTTTGAATTTCTCCGTTTATAATGTTTGGTAAATGACATATTCAGTAAAATAGAAGTAAATATTATTTAAAAGGTTCTTTGTAATAAATGCAAGAACTAGTCAAGTAACTAGTTAAAAGTTAATAACGCGCTTAAAGATTTAACGTGTTTCATCAAATAACTAATAAATAAACCTAATTTTTGACTTAATATTTAATGTATCATAATTTTGGTAATTCCTCAGTTTAATTTTGAGCAAAATGATTGTAAGTCGGCAGGTTGTTAAATACCTTTCAGCTTTCCAGCTAATATCATTGGGAATAGCTAAATATCTTATCAGTTAAATGATCTAGTTGAGTACTTTTGCGCGCAAATGAAGTTACATTTTGTATAAAACTACCTGACTTAGAGCACGTTGTTTCGCATCGCAATAAAGTTATTTATATTAGCGAACAATAACGTATGAATATGAATATATACAATATAAAAAATATCGTTTAATGGTATACACACTTTGCTCATTGAGCCAATTGTAACGGATGTATGAGAACTATAATCCATTGTGTTGATATTGTACGATAAGTGAAAACTTTGTCTTGATTAGCGCTTTATTTAAATGTCCTCAAAATTATGTTAATCACGCTCTCGTTTATGTGTTCATCGACCATTTTGCATCGTGCTTTTCTTTTTATTTCAGATATTTTAATACTGAAATTCTTAATTACTGATTTATTTAATTTCAAAATACAAGCCTCCATTACTTTAGGTTGAAATATTGTTATATATAATTTAATTAAATTTGAATTTAAATAAAAATTAATGCATATCTTTCGATATTGAGTGCAGTATGTGTTTTAATATGTACCCTTGTTATCAGAAGTCTTACTTTCAAAACATAATTAAAACATAATATAACATTTCATAAATGATGAACGTTGAAATTCAGCAGAATAAAAAATAAATCTATAGTAACACCTTTCATAGCATGTCAATGTTCAAAATGAGAATCAATTTCCTGATCCAATAATCGCTCGTAGTATGTCTGAATGGAAAATAAAGTTCTTGCGATAAGAACCACGTGAAGTTCTCTAAGGCCATTGTCATCTTTGAACGGATTATTTATGTTCAAATAGAAATGACGTTACATTGTGAAAAATAATAAAACTACTTCCAATTTCAACAGAAAAATAATAAAATAATTCTTACTAAATTGATGAGATGTATTCATAATAATATATTTGTGAGAGGAAAGTTCATTTTCATTCTACAGAATGCAATAATTCTATAGTAATAACTTATAAGTATAAAAATATGCAAACATAAACTTAGTTTTTAATCTGTTTATTTTTCTAAACAAAACAGCTTGTAAGCTTTTAGGGTACCTTGGGTTTGTTCGTGAAAGTTAAGTTGAAAGATAAATCTTTCCAATTCTTATTTTTAATTGCTCGTCTTCATAGAAGAACAGTTATTTTTATTACATTTTTAAATTTAATACTTTCTTATTTGTAAAAATCTTGATACTCCTAGTAAACAATCAGTTCGTAATTTCAAGAAATTTTATAACAATGGACTCTTAGTTGAAAAATCGTCTTAAAACTTAACTTAAAACTCTTATGCAAATATATACTATAGTTTTTAATTTGCTTTTTTTTAATGAATAAAATAGCTTATAAGCTTTTAGGGTACGTTGGGTTTGTTCGTGAAAGTTAATTTGAAAGATAAATCTTTCCAATTATTATTTTTAATTGCTCGTCTTCATAGAAGAACAAACATTTTTATAGCGTTTTTAAATTCAATACTTTCTTATTTGGAAAAATCTTGATAGTAAACAATTAGTTCGTAATATCAAGAAATTTTATAACAATGGACTCTTAGTTGGAAAATCGTCTTAAAACTTAACTTAAAACTCTTATGCAAATATATACTATAGTTTTTAATTTGCTTTTTTTTAATGAATAAAATAGCTTATAAGCTTTTAGGGTACGTTGGGTTTGTTCGTGAAAGTTAATTTGAAAGATAAATCTTTCCAATTATAATTTTTAATTGCTCGTCTTCATAGAAGAACAAACATTTTTATAGCGTTTTTAAATTCAATACTTTCTTATTTGTAAAAATCTTGATACTCCTAGTAAACAATCAGTTCGTAATATCAAGAAATTTTTTAACAATGGACTCTTAGTTGTCAATCGTTTTAAAATTTAACTTAAAACTCTTCCCTTTTTTTGTAGATTAAGCATTGATTTTTAGGAAAAAGCAAATGGCTTTAAAACTATAAAAGATACTTCACTCTCTTCACACCAGCTCTTTCTCGATGGTTTAATGAACTTAAAGTAGGGTTGCTGAAACCTTGAAGATATCAGAACGGAATATGTACTTATACTAGTACGTATATTTTAACGCATGAAAATTGTTTTCAAAATGGACATTGTATGTGCTAAAAGTGGGTTTAAAACAACAACGTATTGTTTCAAAATGTTTCAGTACAATTAAAATAATCCTATTATATATTACTTCTACTTATACACTTCAGAGTCAAATCGGCACATAGCTGAGTTGCTAGAAGTCAAGGTAAGATGTCTAAATTGGTTAATAATGGAAATGTCAGCTTGTGGGGTTTTGGGTTGCAATTGATTTCTTTGAGCTATAAATAACGATCTGTAGAGAATATTTTTTGTGCTATTAGTGTATTTGACGAAATAATTGCTTTGAAATTAATCATGGAAGATCATGGAAAATTCAATGCTGCCAAATATAATGAAAGTTTTCGTAAAAGTTTTAGTTTTTTTGGACGTCCTACGAGCTTAGTGATTGATGTGACTCTATTGAGTAGCTTTATTCTTATATTCCAAATTTTTATTTTTTTGTGCAGACAATATTATAATACTAAAAATGTAATTAATTTAACAACTTTTGATTGCTTTAATTTTTTCATGTTGAAAAATTCCGTAAAAAGAAACATTATTTGTTTTTCCAAACATACCATAAAAAAATGTTTACAATAATCTTATGCCCTGTGGCTTATAAATCACTTAGCTTACAAAACAGCAAAGTTAGCAACCATATCGTAATTAATAAATAATCAGGATTACTGTGCATCATGATAATACATACAATATATATGCTTAGTAATGGACATTAAGCCATAACAAAGAAATAAAAGTTTCAGAATTTGCCTTACGGCATGCTGTGCTTCAAATTTATTTACAAATATGGATGTTCAAAATGATATTTGTCAAACAATTTTCATATGCAATATTAAATAAATATAAGATCACATGTATAATTATTAAATGATTACTGAAGTCCACAAAACACTTTGGCAATTCAAATAAAAGTAAATAATTTTCACTATCCCGTAGGCATTAATTATAAGAAAAGATATAATTTAATTATTTTATTTAATTGAATTTAATTTCATTAATTAATTAGCTGACATAAACACTAATAAAATATCCACAGAAATTATTTTAACACATTTGCATATACGAGTAATATTAATTCTCATAATTGTATATTTTTATTTAGCAATTCAAGCTTCTGCGAGTAGCTTCCCAAATATCTTAGAAGATATTTGGGGACTTAACTCACATTTGCTGGTGTGTCAGCATTTATTTGCATAATTGCTACAATAATTAAATGGAGCAAATGTCGTAAGGAAGTTGCTATGGAAGTAAGTTATTTTATTAATTACGTTACTTAGATGCTTGAGGATTTTTGAAGGAATAGCAGCAATAAGGCTTAATTAAAAACATTGCATCAGTAATAATTTGAGATTGGTTTATCTGCTCTGTGAGTGAGTATAAATGAGAAATTATTTAAGCGTTTTAAGTATAAAATATTGCTACTTAAAATAATTAAGTAATTAGTGCAAGTTCGGCACTGCCATTTAACAGTCCTGTTTTTATTAAACGAAATTGATTTTAATGAGTTCTTTAAGCTATTTGCATTTTATGTGAGCATCATTACTGAAAAGTTTAATTGATTGAAATTAAAAAGAAACTGAATCAATTTGTATAAATACCAGTACAATCATTTTCATAACTAGAAAAAATAAACTTTAATCATTATAAAATCGATTCTGTTTTTTCAGAATTTTAGATTTTACTTCAATCGTTATTTATATCGTTAAATATACTAATATTTCTATATGTATTTCATCAAATTCGCCTTTTCCCTTAATCAGGAGATTTCCTAATAACAACTTAAAAATTAAAAACAAAATCTATTTATTAATTTCTTTTTTTAGTAAAAATATATTTTTAAAATTTAAAGAAATATCACTTTCTGCAGGTAGACTGTTCTTAGCAAGAAATATAAATAGCATTGGAAGTAATTAAATTTAGATAGCATTACCAAGTTTCAACCTTTATATAAACGATTGTTAAATTTTACTTCTGTTTATGAATTCCATTATGTATTAGCATATGTTTATAGTTAACATATTATGCTTCTTTTATCAAATATAAATAAATTATAGAACACAACTGCATTATTTTTACCAGCCTTTTTCCTACTAGCAATAAATACTACCAGTTCGGATGTACTTTGAAAATACATATTAATTAAATTCACTACTATATATATACATATACTAATTTACGAGTAACTTTAAGTTGATTCAAATAATTAATAGTTTTTCTTTTTGTGTTTTTAACTATTCATTTCAACCTCAATAAATGCTGGTACCCGATATTTGTATTAGTATATAATAGTACACAAAGGAACCCAGTTTCTGCACATTTTTCAAAATTCATGAATTTTTGACTAATGCAGATTCTGTACAATATAATTTGTTTTAATGTTTGTAATCAATAATCAATTTTCAATCATCTAATATCATTCACTTTCAATAGAAATGCAGTTTATGGAATGCTTTCTCACTCAGAATAAGGTAAGGTATAAGTTGCTAATGTATAAGGTAACCATATCTTGTGAATGTCGTATTCAATTAAATATTTTGATTAATCTGACAACCCAATTACTGTGAGAGACAGCTTTTACATTCACTAACTAGAAAATGATTGGAATTAATTTCATCAAAACTCATTTCACATAACTATACCTTAAATTTTCCTTCATTGTAATAAATTTGTTAAAAATATTATTTATTAACACAAAATAATTATTTGATTACTGTTGGTCAGTTTAAAAAAAAAAATTGAACAACAATCAACTAAACCATCGTCAATAAATCATCAAAAAAAAAATTGCAACAGAAGTTATCACTAACAGTTCCAAAGTTATTGTGGTAAATCGATCAAGAAATCGTTTAATACTTTTTGCCCAAAGAAGGTGAATAAACCAGTGAATGATAAAAAATTTGCAGTTTGTACTCCATGCATTATAGTCTTAAAATTTTTTAAAGGTCTTGATCAATTTAATAAATATGATAAATCCTTCTTTAAAAGCTTTTGAATTTCTTTTGAATTTTGAAAATATTGTTGTTCTTCCTAATTGCGAAGAAATCTAGTTACGTTGTTTTTTAGTAATATTTTGAAGGATATTTGTGTTAGATAAGAAAGAACGGGGTACTAGCTCCCATTTGAGCAGAGTACTGCGACCACGATTGATCTTTTGTGCTACAACACACCTTAACTGAACAGAAGACATTCCGCCTTCCGGATGAAGACTAAAATGTCGGCCGTTGAGGACCTCCTAGTGTCGGAAGGGGAGAGCCCAGATCAAGGCTGGGCAGTAATATTTGTGTTACTATAATTCAATAAAAAAACAAAAAATAACGTCTTTAAGTTATGTATTTTAACTAAAATCGAACTAATGGAATGAGGGCAAATACAGTTAACTCAAGCTCTCAGTAACACCGTCCGCACAACATTTGTTTCATTTCTGCAACAAAATGCGTTACTAAATTAAATCATTTTAATTAGCTCTATTTTTACATTTAAGAAAATGAAAATGTTTTGCAAAAAAATTTATTGATAATAAACTAAAAGCGATTATGATGAAAATTACTATTTTTTTAATAGAAACTACATGTAGTTTAATAGAAAGGTTCTTTAAATAGTAGTGAATTACAACAACAAAATTTAATTATTTTTAATTAAATCAATTTTTGAATTACTATACAGTTATTGCAAGCATTATTCGTAAATAATTTTTATTTTTTGAGACTGCAAGTACCAGGGGTTGAACTCGTGCCCTGTTAAATTGGAAGCTCGCATTCAGTGTTCATTATCCAACTGACCCAAAGCCATACTTGACTTGTAGGTATGTTCGAAATTGGAGTTTTATTAATTTACTGTGAAAGTTATATTTCAGGAAATTAATAACCATAATTAATCATGGTTATTTTTATTGAATACTACTTTGAATACTACTCTATTGTAGAGATATTATTAATTCCTTCTTCTATATTGAGTCTAATCTAAAAAAGTAATACAGAGAAAGTCATGCTAATGCTACTGTACGCTATTTGTATTTATGATAGTTAAAATATCAACAATATTCTATCGAGATTCTTCAAACTACAATATAAGATAGTAAAATAAATTGCTGAATAACTTGAATCTACTACAGAATTTAATTATAAAAATGTTATTAAGATCTTTTCGTATTTTTATCATTATTTTACAGTATAAAAAAATCAATAGATGAATGTCGAGCAGAGAATGGCGTATTTGAATCTGAAAGAAATTCTGCGATACTCAAATAAGTTCTCAATGAATTAAAATTTGAAGCAACAGAAAACCTGCGAAAATTGAAGTATTTCTAGAGAATAAACAAAAATACGAAATAATGGACGAATATCCTGTGGTGCATATACAACCAGACGAAATAGTTGAAGAGGAAGAATTTGGTAAGCAAATACTTGGAAAAGTATTACTGACAATGAGAAAATTGAATGAATTATCTTCGTCAACGTTTTAAGTTTAGAAACGTTCAGTTGTTATTATAAGTTCAATTCTTTTTATAATTTTATATCTCTTGTAGTGAAAAATCAAAGCTTAAATTATTTTATATAAATTTTATACTTCAAAGAACTAATAACTTACAGTTTTAATTTCAGTACTTATAATTCTTTTTTATTCTGTCTTTTGATTACACATAACATTCAGCTAAATTGCTAGTAGTATGTACATACGAAACTTTAAACTTATCGCTACTATCTTATTTCACTTTGAAATCTTATTTTCTAACTACAGTCTGCAAATTTATTTTATTTTTAGAGCGTCTCTATTCAGCTCCAGCCGAGATTGTTGCACTCTTGTCAATTTTTTATGGTGGAATCAGTATCCTGTCTGTCATTGGCAACACACTGGTGATTTGGGTGGTTGCAACTACAAAGCAAATGCGTACTGTTACTAACATGTACATAGCTAACCTGGCATTTGCAGATGTTTTCATCGGTTTATTCTGTATACCATTTCAGGTAAGCCATTTAAATGGAATTTCTCACAAAAATTAATTTTATATAAAATTACAAACAACGAACTTGAAAAATATATATATAAACAAGAGTAATGACATTAAATTTAATTTAAGAGTAAGTATAAGTAATTTAAATCTGTTAAGTTAAAAAACATAAAACGAACTGTGAGATAAGTTTTTTTGCAATTCTTTATTATCGAGCTCTGTTAATAATTTTATTAAATAAGTTCTGAGATTTCCATTTATCAAATTTGATTACTTATTATTCTCATGTCTTAAAATACTGAAATATGTATTATCTGTATTATTACAGTATTCTAGGAATACACATATCCAATCTAATTTAGAATTGAACTAGGCCCAGGTTTAAAATTAAATTTAAAATTTTGTTGTCATTAATTTCGACGTTTGTCACAAACAGATAGTGTTAATGGTACAATAAAGTTCCTAAAATTTCTTGACAAACAAAAAATAAATTAAATTTATTCCATAAAATTAAAAAAGTAAAATTTTTTAGCAGCTGTTCCATCCGGCATGATTCGGCACGCATACGAAAAATTAAATTAACGCATTCTTCAGAACTTTTAAATTGCGTGACAGCTTCAACGGTACGGAAATTAAATTAAATTAAATTAAAAAGAAATTTTTAATTGATGCGTTAATTTTGTCTTTCCAAAACCTTTTCGTATTTAATAAAATTCAGATTATACGAAAACTAAGTAAAATATGATTAAATATTTTAAGACTAGAAGACTAATTAGTTGCTTCTTCAGATTTTTCTTGCAGTAAATTTAAAATAAAATATTGTAAAAAGTTATTATGTATTTTATATGTGTGTAACATGTTAATTTATAAGACAAGATAACAAGACATCTTAAGCGAATTTGTTTGGTGGAACAGTAAAAATAACTTGACAAAAATATAAGTTTAAATAATTTGAATCGAGAATTGCATTGGTTCCGACACATTATTCTTCAGATCAAGTACAATTCTAGTAATTTTTTTAGCCCCATTTAAACATTTCCTGCAAGCTATTGAAATATAATCCAAATTCAATGCAAACCGAATGAAGATAGTCGACTCATTTCATAGTAATTGCAAAGCACTAGCAGATAAGATGGGCCGAAATTTTACTCTTCATCTCACTGTCTCAGAAGTATTGTTATAATTCAGACCAAGTTTTGAAAGGTGATAGTTAAGACGAGCAGGTCCAGTAAAAAACCAGTAATTGATCTGAATTCAAATCACTTATAACTGAAAAATCTGCAATTATTCCGTTACTATGTACTGCATTTCTATTTTGATATACTGGTTTAAAATAAATGCGATTATAAGATCTTTCCAACTGACTCTTTGAGAAAGTATTTTTTAATATTATTCAATTAATATTTTTGTAAATACATTTCAAATGAATATTATAAAGTGCCAATGGGTTCGATTTTCATTAAAAAGTTCATTCCAATCTTTGCATTTGACATACTCCAAATATTTGCTCATTCATGTCACGTAAAAACTTTTGCTAATGTCAACTTTTGAACCTTTTTCCAGAAAAAAATGTGTGCTTAAATTGTATTTCCGTATTTTTATAAACGAAAATATATTGAATTAAGCAGAGGTTATGGAAATAATTAACTGTTAAAAATTATAATTTCTTTAATTTCAGCAAGGTTTTTTTTCTTGTTAGATTATTAGAATCCATATTTTAGATGGATGTATTTTTTTTGGAGAATTAATTTCCATCTTTGTCAGAAGTATCTATATAGCTGTTTTGATCCCCTATAACTAATTTATTATTTTATTCACTTAACTTTATATTATGCATAATATACATATTTTTAAAAAAAAATTAATATTTAGTTTAAATTTTATCTTTAATTAAATGTAATCATTTTCAGCAGTGCAGCTTTTTTCGATATTGCCTAATATTTATGATTTGTATACAGTCAATAACATATTGAATTAGCTTTGGAAATGTAGACCAATCTATTGTATATGTACTTATTCCATGTCGTAACTATATATTATAGGTAGGATTACTGCAAAAATGAAATAATTGGGTATGATATTGGAAACTATTATTTTCGAAACACTATTATCTATTATTATTTAAAGGGGAATATATTATAATTATTAAATACTGAATACTGTTAAATAAAATAAGGCGATCATATATGAAACAGGATCATCGTTAATATTATTATAATATTAAGTCTCGCTGTTAAATGAAATATGCCGTCTATTTGATGCTTTATTTTTAATCTGCACTTCGAAGGTAATTAATATTGGTAATATTTGTAAATTTTTACATTTTCGGAACTTCTCAAGTTTATATTATTAGTTTAAATTATATAATAATGATTCCGATTTATATTAACATCTGAATGTGCTGTTTTAATCTTTGGCACAACTTGCTTCTTTTCGACTTGTGCCTTTTAATAGCAGCCTTAGTTATAATTATGACAAGTTACTGTCATACTAAGTCTACATATAGGAGTTAGGGAATCTCTGCTATCTCACACATTTGTCGCATACTTGCTTTTCCGATTTCAAGTGCGATAAGAAAATTATTACATGTAATTAAAAGCAGTGGAACATAGTTTGTTGTTGGAATATATAATGACAATATAAACGAATAAACCAATTTTAATCATTATTTATGTATTATATAGTATAAATTTATATCATATATTATATTTACTTATATTATATTTATATTTAATAATAGAAATAATTTTATATAAGAAATAATGTAATAATATATGTTACATAGGATTTAACATGCAATTATATGTTTCAATTAATATAGTTACTAAAGGTTGTTTTAAAAAGAGAACATTGTTTTTTAAATTTAAGTTTCAAGCTGCTTTATTGCAACAATGGAATTTACCTTGGTTTATGTGCGGCTTTTGTCCATTTGTGCAAACTCTTAGCGTGAATGTCTCGGTTTTTACTTTAACGGCAATTGCAATTGATCGCCATCGAGCAATTATTAATCCACTAAGGTAAGTTTTTGAAAAATACCATAATTTATACATAATATTAATATAAAATCACAGCATCGGAAACTGTATGAAACGTTTTAACCATATGTAATTTCCAATTTGGTAAAGAGATTAGATATTCTTTGTGTGTTATATATTCATATATATTTTGTTACTTTTTGATTCTTACACTATGTACCATAAAGTATAGGACGTTGATATAGCATTTCATTTTTATATATTACTTGATAGATTTTGAAAATTTCTATGTTTTATTTCTTACAACTAAAAATCTGGAAAAAATATTTTATTTATTATTCAGAAATATATATTTATTTAAACTAAATCTTCTTCACTATTTTACCTATATTTCACCCCTTTGGTTGCCATTGTCAAGTATTTTTTGTTAATGTAAAGTAAGAGTTTTATTCGTTTATGTACTTCAATGTATTTTTAAAATGTCCATTGCTTATTCCATATTGAGGTTACTCATACGCACCGTAACACTTTTTCAAAAACTGGTAGCTCGTAAAAAATTTATTTTATTTCTTTAACTTGAATAAAATTGCAGAGAAATTTTGTTATTAGTTAATAAACTTTTCGTTTTATTATAATAATTAGGACTAAGTAAGATATCTCATAATTTAATTAATGTTTTTTATTAAGTAACAAAGTATAAAAATATTATCCTCTGTTTTTAAATCTTTTTTCCATATGGATTTTAAAACAAAGCTGGCATGAGTAATGTAAAATATCAATTTATGAGCTAACAGCTTTTGCATGTAATAATATTTTTATACAATTCTGTGCTTTTTAAGTGTATCCAGTCCTTGACATGAAGATTTTTTATAAAATTTAAAATTCAGGCTTTTTTCGATAAGCTTCATAGTAGAAGCTTATGATGTCTGCTATGTACATATGCATGAAATCAAAAACATATTTGTGTTGTAAATTATTGTATTGTTAATATATATTAACGTACATATAGTTTAGTTAAATTACTTTAGTTCAAAATTACTTCAAAATACTACTTCACAAATAACATATAACTTCAAATATACTAATCTTATTTGGTTTATGTAAAATGTTATAAATAAAGCATATCAAGATATTTTATTGCTTAATTTAAAAGTTAAGAGTACCTAAACACCGCATAAAATTTCTAATTAGTGGTTGCCTTTTTTGAGTATGGAAAACAAATTATTTCTTTATTTCCAATACTTTTTATGTGATATTAATGACACTTCATGCTCCACAGCTTCCAATAACTTTAGTTATGATTTAGTTGATGTTATATGTGTGTATATATATGTATACATTATATGTATATTATGTATATTCACAGGACGTCGCCTAACTGCGTGACGAAAATATAGGAAAGTATTCCATAGTTCACAAAACGATGAGATCGTCTTAATGGGAAGATTAGCTTATAATCGAGATGCAAGATGTTAAAAAAAAAACGAAAAATGTTTGATTGTCTTGAAATCGGGTTTTTATAATACCCAATGAAGATTTCTATTTATTAAATTTTATCTAAAGTTTGATACTTAGGTATCATCTTTTGGTATCATTTAGTATAGGCTCAAATCTATTTGGGGTTTGGTGGTTTGTTATGGGTAGTCTTTTGTTCATCACCTTAATGTTGCTAAAATGCAAAGACAGTTCCAATCACAGAATTATTTTGGTAGACTTCCTTAAAAGAGCAAAATAAAAACAGGGAAATATTATGTGATGTTTTAAAACTTATAAAACGCTAATACATATTAGTAAAAGATATTGCATTACCAAAAGAGAATCATTTATTCATTTATTATTATTTACATTTATTATTCTACAAAACTGAACAAATTACATTATGGGTCCGCTGTGTTCACTATTCACTGAAATTTCAATCAATTAAGTCGTTTGTTCCGGTACTAACGAATACTATGAGGAACTAGAACACTTCGCATTTGCAGAAGCGGTTAACAAAGTGCAATATATGTAGCATTAAAAAAATAAATTGAAAAGCAAGACTTCAAACTTCCACAAATTTCCTTTACTTTTTCCTAAATTATTTTTGGATGTCGCAGATGTTTTGCAGTTTGTGAATCATTAATTAAAATAAAATTTTGTTGAATTCGAATTTATGTCTAATATTATTTATTTGCACTTTAGTTTATATATCTGATCATTTGAAAATTTAAAATTCTTTTATATAATTACGGTGTTCATAGGTTCTTCCAATACTTTTCTTGCTTCAGGAAAAATTAATAATAAGTATTGCAATTATTGCTTTTAATAGACCATCTTTTTGTTTTCGTGTGGTAAGAAAAAATGTTTTCGAAGTATTGTAAGTAAATCTTCAATATCACAATGAAGTTTTTAGCACTCAGTAGAATATTTATTATATTAAATTCTTTTTATCAAATTATCATTTGTTATATTTCTTTCAGTTTCTGTTGAGAGTTCACTCTTCTCTTTGTATTGCAAAAAAATAAAAAAATCTCTCTATTTCTACTCATTATGTAGAGCAAGGCCAACAAAATTTGTATCGAAGTTAATTATTGTCACAATATGGATTGTTTCTATCACATTTGCTATACCATGTGCCATTGCTTTTCGCGTAGAGTTGGTACACGAACGGATAAGAGGTATGCTAAACATAAGCAATACAATAAACGATTTTAACAAAACTCTGACAACTTTTAGAGGATGGCGTAATCTACAATATGACACGACCGTTTTGCTTGAATAAGAATCTCTCAGAAGAGCAGTTGCAAACATATCGTTATTCTTTGGTATTTGTGCAGTACTTGGTGCCATTTTGCGTCATCAGTTTTGTGTACATACAAATGGCAGTGAAATTATGGGGCACTAGAACACCTGGTAATGCACAAGATTTGCGTGACATGACATTGTTAAGAAATAAGAAGAAGGTAAATCAAATACGTGTCAAAATGATTAACTGCTCATAAATAGGAAAGGGAGATTATAAGTTCTCTTACCTGCATAATAGTATGACAAACTGACAGTTACATCCTGTCTGTAAAAAGTATGAATAGTTATCTCGACTTTTACTTATAAAGTTACGATATTTGACTCAACTCATTTATTTAAAATTTTTGTTTTATTTCTTTTGGTGATGACAGGTCATTAAAATGCTGATTATTGTCGTCATTGTATTTGGATTATGCTGGTTACCACTACAGCTCTATAACATACTTTACGTAACAATACCAGAAATAAATGAATATCATTTCATCAGCATCATTTGGTTTTGTTGTGATTGGCTCGCAATGAGTAACAGTTGCTATAATCCTTTCATTTATGGTATTTACAATGTAAGTATAAATACGTGCCATTGTCCTATTATTTTACAAAATTATTACTTTTATTTAAATATTTATTTCGGTTTTTCATTGCGAACTTTATAAAATCAATATAAAATCATCCAAATGAAAATTTAACCTTTACTTCTTCTTCCCAAAGTATGTACTTGTTCGTACTTAAAGGATTTGATTTTCCTCGCGTATTTCAACACTGAGCATAAGTGTGAACATAAGTATCTGTATTTTTTTAATTTTATGTTGACTGAGCTATTTAAATACCTTTGAGATATTTATATGAATAGCCATTTTTAAAACTCTTCCAAAAGGATTTGTGGGTGTCTAGTAGTTTTAGTACAGAACTTTCACAAGTTCGGTTTCTGTTTAGTTTATGGTTAGCTATTTGAAACGTGGGTTGTTTTACAACCGCTGTTTTGGTATTATTAGACGAAAAACTTCCAGTACGTGTAAATTAAGCTTTAAGTGCTATTGAATTGGGCACCATTTGTTCACCGATTTGTTATCAGTGCACTTTGTTTTTTGAGGATGTGTATCGACTGCATGCTTACAGATCACTCTTAAATTCAAGACGTTTCACTAACGAGCGGCAATTAAGTAATGTTCAAAATTTTGCAAACTATATGCCAAGTCAGTGAAAATTGCCTGAAAAGAATGCTATACTGTTAGATATCCAGTGGTGGAGATTTGATTAATGTTGTGTTTTACACTTAATCATCTAGTCTTATATAGCCGATTATATTTGAGTTAAAATCAGCAGGTATAAATTATTTATCATTTAATTACTTATTTTAATACAATATAGCAATAGTTGTTCATTTAGAGAAGAATTTATAAGGTGCACACTGTTTGTATTATTTCTGATTTAAGTTGAACAAAAAACTGAATAACCATTTGAAGCTTGAAAAAAACAAGGATCAAGCGGTTTGATTCGGAAGATATCGGATTAAGTTTTCAAAATAGATTAAGGTATTCCTATTAGAGAAAATTAAAATTTAAGGATGGTTGTCTTGAGCTAAACCTGTATAGCTAAAACAATCCTATATGACTTCATATTATAGTTCGGATTTTTCTGATTAAGTAGAGAATAAATTTTGTCTTTACAAAGTTTATTCTCGACCTTAATATGCATTAATCTTATATTGAAAGAAAATCCAAATGCAATGTGTCGAAGCTTCTTAACAATTTGAATATATGTGTCATTTTAGTTTACAATCGATCGATGATTATAACAATTATTTACTTTGAATTCATTTACTAAAGAATACAAAATATATTAAGTAAAGTCTTAAACTTTAGACTTCACTTTACTAGACACGAAAAATATGTCTGCTTGTTGTTATAACTACATAGTACTCCTTTCATTTTCTTTGTAGTCATATACTAGATGCGTTACTCCCAATCACCGTAGAAGGCACTACCGATTTTAACCCCAAAAACAGAAGACTGCATGCTGTTGTGTATCTAAAGTCATAACATTTACTGAATAAGAAATGTATTTCTAACACTTTAAATACTTAGAAAAATAGAACGTTTTAAATTTTTTTGAGGAACTAAAAACCTTGACTAATAGGTTAACAAATGCTTTAGGTACTTTGAGAAGGTGACACTTTTAGAAGTAGTTTTTCATTATTATTTCATGAAGTGCAAATGAAAATTTATATTTATCAGCTAATAAAATAAGGTAAAGGGAATTATTTTGGGTAATTTTAATTCGTAATTTTAATAAGATTTTATGCATTCGGTTCACATATATACTTCAATCAAATGTAATCCCACTTAAATTATATTATTATTGAGACTAAAGGTAAAAAAGCAATGAAATTCTATTAGAACTATCATAGAGCCTTTTCATTTTTCCTTAATATATTTTTTTTACTAACACTTTTCCTGCAAATACCTTAAAAGCTTTCAATAATTTTGGAAATCTTTTTCAGGAAAAATTCAAGCGTGAATTCAATAAACGTTTTGCGGCATGCTTTTGTAAATTCAAGACATCCTTGGATTCACATGACCGCACTCTATCCATGCACACACGCGGTAGTTCCCTACGTTCCAGTTACATGAGTTCCTCAATGCGTATGCGTAATAACATATTCTCATCCAGTCATCAACACCCTGTTAGAACGGCACATTGCTACCGTCCAGGGCAGATGAAAATTGGTAAAAATGGCCACAACAACATTTACAATGTCATGACTTTCGGTAATAACACTGCGAACAATTTTAATGGAGGCGTTGATGCTAACATTATTGTTGGTGTACATGATGCAAATAATGTTGGTCCGTTAATGTACCAGTGGAGGCGTAATAACTTTAAGCCGTTACATCCAGATGTCATTGAAAATGAAGATGATATGGGATTGATGGAGTTGCCGTCAACACCGCCATCAGAGATACCTTCCGGTACGTATGGCAACACGGTTGATACGATTAAAAGCGACTCGAATGAAAGTTCCAGTTGTATTTGTGAACAAGAATTAGGTAGTCGCACTGAGTGTGATGGCACTTGTATACTGATGGAAGTTGCACGTGTGCAGGCACCGCACACTGACATCGTCGAAGCTACGGACAAGGACATACAATTTTAAATGTTCCAAGCACTGCAGGTGTTGTGATTTAGCAATGCACATATATTATAAATTAAGTTAATTATAATTAAAATTTTAGTTGTACTCTCTTTCTTATGTTTTCTTAAGAAAAGTTGTTTGAAACTGTGATTATTAGAAATTTGTTTGTGATTAAGTGAAACTAATGTAGTGAAAGCACTTTAAAAAAGTCAAAAATGTATGCTTTAAAGTATGTATAAGTTTAGTGTTAAGTCGCTGTGCGAGTACTTAAATTAGCAGCTGATTGAACAGTATTAAATCTTCTAAAAGTAAGTTATTTTTGTAAATAAAATCAATTAATTTAGGGCCATTGTGCAGTATGAGCTAGTGAACTTGGAACAATTTAATTATATTATTTTATTTTCAAACACAGACGAATAGTTTTTAAAGCAATTAACTTAAGTATTTTCTTGCGTGTAAATCGATACATTAAAATTCATAAAAATGATTAAACTTTAAATTTAAAATAATAATAATTATGTAAAGATAAGTAACATATAGGCAAGGTTAGTAGTACTATAGAGCAGTCGAATGAATTTTTTTATATGCTTATTAGAGTATTAATGAATTGATGCGTGTATTGTTCTTTACGGATTATATATAAAGAAAGAAATTAATTGTAATATATGGAAATGCATTGAAAAAATTAATTTTAATGTGTGTAAATATATTTCTCATATCAATAAAATTAGTTATTGAATCATTTAAAAAATAAATTGAGCTTATGAAATTGTAATACTAGTGTTGTTCTTTCAAAATTTTTGTTTATTTTTGTATGATTTTGGTGGCCAATTCACTTAATGAAATTGCTTATATCTGTGTTTATAGCTACAGTTTTGTATAAAAGCTTTGCATTTTAAAAAAAAATAAAAGCTTATAACACTTTGAGATCAAATGCCACAACATTAACTGATTTTTGGTCGATGCTATAATCTTTCGAGAGTTACTTGTTACCCCAGATGTACAAATTTATTTTTTTGATCAACTTACAATACAATTTATAATTTTTATGTGTTATGAATTATTCATCTATAACAGAATTATCTTTTCGTAGTAAATTTCAATAACATTCGCATGCTCTGCGACTGCTAAGCGATCCATAATGTGAACTAGCAAAACTCAAACTAAACATATCATGATAGTTTTGTTTAACATACATTTCGGAAAACTACAATATCAAGACTTCGGAATGGATAAATTCTCGTTTTCTCTGGGACCTGATGCAATAAATGTACTCATTTTTTGAACTATTGGCCATAAATGAGTCTTAAGGTATACATTTTGTAGGACCTCGTTCACAAACTAATATGTGGGTACTTTCAAAGCCGTATTTTATGATCGAATAAAATTTGTATCTAGCGGTATGCAAGTAAATTAAGTAAATGTGAGTAATTTATATTTTATAAATGGACATAATAAAAAGTTTTAACGGCGGTTAAGCAAAAGGCAGATTGGAGTGAAAGTTTGTTAAAATTCGAAAATAACTCTAAACGTAACTCTAAATTTTTAACTTAAGAAAAAAGCTGTTCGAAAAGGTTAACTTATAAATTTATCTGCTTTACTTGTTTATCACGACATTAGCTAGCTATCAATTGCTTATCAATAGTTATGATAAGTACAAAATTAAATATTACCAAATAACTGTAAGTAACTAAAAAGTTTTAACTAAAACATACATATTCAAATCAAGGAATAAATTTTAGTTACCGTCCTTTCTTCTTAAGGACCAGACCATCTAATGTACTAATTTCTGTTTTCATTAAGAGCTTTAAGTTGTTTGCGACACATACACTAAACGTTTGATACTTTACTAATTTTTGCTTTAAGTCCTAAAATTTTCTCAATTGTTTTTTGTTGAGAAAATTATGGTTCACAGAAAACAAAGCTAAATACATTACATTCTATTCCATTCAAACATTATGAGTCAATGTTTATGTTCAATTTTCAACCTCTAAGGGCCATGTTATTTAGAGTGCCTCGGGCACGGCATAAAAATTGTTGTTTTCAATGCAAATTATAAAATCGAGAGTGAGAGAAAAAACAATATATCGGTTCAAATTTCGGCATGAGATCCGAGCTATTTGTTCATTGTCATTTAGGCAAAGCAGTGTTGTCCAGTAATTGATGTCAGAATTTACGCATTTTAAATGACCACAATTTTAATACATTTTGTAGAAAAAATGACAGTAAGCAATACAGCCTGAAACTAAGTAGAGTGATTAGCATTATAATTGGCATAAATAATACATTCTTTATATGCAGCATCATCTGTCATCTATCTATTTATATATCTATTTATCTATCTATTTTGAAGTCTATTATTAAATTTATCTACCGACATAGATTTATCTTATATTATTTGTATTCGTTCTAAGTTTTAAAGTGTTTTTCCGTCTCTTTTTCTTGTTTCCTGATTATCTATCATATGGCGCTTATAGTTTGGTTTGATATATTTCGCTAATAATACTTGTGTATGATAATTCACTTTTCAATCTTCCGACTGAGGGCGAAAATCAGGGTCTTATTATTATTTTCAATTAACATATGCATGACTTAATAATTATCATATTAAAATTTTTTAATACTTAATAAAAATAATTACTAATACTAAATGTAGTATTGCTGAACTGATTTAGGACTGTGCAACCCTATTGGTGAGAGAGGATAACCTTACAAATTTAAGACAAACCTCGAATGTTTAAAATAGCGTATATAATGGTTCGCAAGTTCAAAAAATTTACCAACAGAATATTTTTAAAAAAGTCGCTGTTTAGATATTTTAAACGTTTTAGCACTTGTATAAAATAAATTTATTTTAATATTGTATTCATTGACTTGTACATTTTTTCAATCTTAAGAAAGAAATCTGAAAAGTTTATTTAACTTTTCATGCTCCTGAGATCTCATCAAAATAATTGTCACTTCAGTAGCAACAAACAAAATATTTTATTAGGTGGAAAGATAAAGTATTTTTATGGAATCACACAATAAGGGTAGACATAAACCTTTACATTTTAACCAAAAAGCTAGTAATATATTTGCAAGAGTACACTGAACGCAGTCAAAGAGATATTTTTGCTTGAGTTTATTCAAGAATATCTTTAAATCGTAATTTGTAAGAACTTCTGTACAAATTTGTTATCGACCTATTTTCATATTTTCTTTACACGTAAATGAAGTGCTGATAATAAATTAAATTCATACTTGCATTAAAAAAAGTAATGATATATAATGATGATTTTGACTCATTACGATAAACAATTGATGTGGCTTTTATAAAGAATTATTCATATTCTGCTTTGCTGTATTTGTTTCCATGTCAACATACGAAAATTTATTATTTTGTAAAGTAAAAACCGAACAGATTTTAAAGCTTCATTAAAGTTAACTTCTTCAATAATTGTATATTTTCATAAACATTTCTACGAAATGTGTATAAAATTTCTGTTAAGTGCTTTTAAGTTCGCAACATAAAGCTGATTATTTTAATAACACAATATTAATTGTTTTTTGCCCTACAACTGTCATATATAAAATACCCACAATTCTGTTAATTAAAAACAACATTTTACTGGTTATATGGTCGCTGTGCTACATCCCGTAGAAATAATAATAACAATAATAATACATATATAAGAATTTCTGCACTTATATAAGTATTATATAAAACAAACAATTATCTTGGGAAATGGATTACTAGTATTACCCGTTATAGATAGTGGCAAACTAAGGTTTAGGTAATAACGTACAAAAACCTTCAAAATGACAAAAGAATACTGTATATGAAAAAAAGAGAAAGACCATAAGAAGTTAGATATGTAAATATTAGAACAATTATAATAATAT